TGTGTGTGTGTGTGTGTGTGTGTGTGTGTGTGTGTGTGTGTGTGTGTGTGTGTTTGTGTGAGTGTTTGCGTGTGTGTGTGCGTGTGTGTGTGTGTGTGTGTGTGTGTGTGTGTTGTGTGTGTGTGTGTGTGTGTGTGTGTGTGTGTGTGCGTGTGTGTGTGTGCGTGTGTGTGCGTGCGTGCGCGTGAGTGCGTGTATGCGTGTGTGCGTGTGCGTGTGTGTATGCGTTTGCGTGCGTGCGTGTGTGCGTGTATGCGTGTGCGTGCGTGCGTGTGTGTGCGCGCACGCGTGTGCGTGTGTTCTCTTTCACTCTCGCTCTGTCTGTCTGTCTCTCTCACTCTATCTCCCTCTCTCTTGTGTCTAGGTGATTATATATAGCTATTTATTTTAATGATGATATACCGTTATATCGGTAGGCGTGTGGACATATTCGGCAGTGTGTTTGTGCATGTATGCGTACTCCCTGGCCAGCTTCTGCCGTCCCCTATCTTCTACTTTGTTCACCGCCCGTTCTCGCATTCTATTTCTTATATTTCACGGAGGAATTAATCAAGTAAGTTACGCGAAGAATTTGCAATCGACACTGCACTCTTTAATGTCTCTCCCTATGAGTGTGACCAATATAATGGGGAACACCTAATGGGGACTCGCAACATACTCTCCTGACGTAGGGCCTCAGGGGCGGATTCAGACCGTATTTGCCGTATTGGGAAATATGGTCTAGATTTCAAAGTGCTCTTCGAAATTTTGCGCTAAAAAATACAGAAAACAATTTGATGGAATTTGGCTATATTCTTTATTTGTTTTATTTTTCTTCTGATTCATTGACAGGACTTGAAGGAAATCAACATTTTACATGGTAACAAAACTAGCTTCGATATCTGAAAAAGAAGGGAAGTGCTTGAATAATTGTGCATTAATTGCTGGTATGCAAAGCGCAGGCAAAATGAAGCAGAAATAAAATTCCATATGGTTTTTAGCTATTGCTGCTTGACTAAATGTGTGCTCAACTGGTGCTCATTTTTGTGCCAATGGACCCTTGAAATTTTGAATCCCCAGACCCCCCGCCATGTTATTCCGCGCATAACGGCTGCCACTGTGGGGTGGTGTGCTCTTTTGAGGGGATGTGTCCTTAAAATCTGGAATAATTAAGAACTGTCTTATTTACTGTCTAGCTTCAGCCCTGGATCCGCCCCTGGGCCTAAGATAAAATATTGCTTGTTTCCCCTTTACCGGCCGACTCGCCAAAACGCCGCTACTCGACATATTTTATTGGCTGATTAAAGCAAAACAAAAATTATTTCGTTTCGCAAAAAAAAAATCAAATTCGTCCCGCAAAAACATATACTCAAAACAGAATATACAATATTATTAATATACATACACACATCTTGTCAAAACAAAATAAAAAAGATTTTTCACCTACCTAGCTACTCGGTACCCTGAGAGGCGAGTAGGTAAAGGGGAAAC